ATGATTGTTTTTGTTGTATACCTTTTGTTCAGAATTGTAGTTAGTAATTATGTTCTGACAGATTCTGATACAGAACACAGGCGGAGATTGAAAAACAGCACTATACTAAGGCTTCGTACCTTTCATCAACTTAGTAATAGAAATCAGAGTTACATGTACTACGCGATATTGTATATCGTATCGTGATATTGTGAATAAAGTCCTATTTAATTCAATAATTTGGATTCATATGGATGTGCGTAAAGTCTAAAGTTGTTATTTTTTAATCAATTTGCCTATTATTATTTTGGACAATCGTCATTCTTTTTCGCCAAACATCCAGTCAGTTCTCGATTTTCGAATTCACTAGCCAACACGTCTCCAACATCACTTCCCTTGATGAGACTAAGCTTTTAGAGTGCAATCAACCAGTCATAACCGTGCCGCTCAGAGCTTTAAATCGCAAAGATCTGAGAGGCAATGCTAGAGCGCCCTTCATCCTGGGACATAAGTTGAAAAGTGTCATATGCTGTCTATACAAAATATTGAAGAAGAATCAATGATGTATCATCGAGAAGAACTATCTACGTCAAACGAAGATAGAATCTACGTGTGACGAATAAAAATAGTAAAATAAACATATTTGGAATTTTGGAATTGATTTTGTATTTTAATTACTTTTTAATGTTGAGCTGGATTTCTGAGGGACTATTTTTCTAGTTGGATCGTGGATTTAGTGGCAGTAGAGCTTTTTCTGAAGAAATTCGTCCAGGGAAGTTCTGCCACCTTACCTATTTTTACCGCCGAGCTGCAATGTCAGGGTGCTGGTGGAATTACAGGCTCATGGGACTTGTCAACTTATGTCCTAGAGTGGCGAGCGCAGTGGCAGTGCCCCAGATCTTTGCGAATTAAAGCTCTGAGTGGCACTGCAACTGTTATGGACAGGCGTGTAGCTTACCATCGGGCGTACGACTTGTTCGTCCCGTCACTTTATATTATAAAAAAATAGTACGGTCTGTACTCAAAAGTAAAACACATTTTATACAAGTATTAGAATAACTTTAGACATTGTTTGTAAACTGCCCGTGACTTTCTCTTTCCTTTTTTATTCCCTAACCGGAAAGGGGGTACCCGAGATCCTATATTCCATGAGAGACCTTTGGGGTTGAAATAAATTGCATAAGTGTTACGGTTTGCACCTGAGGCCTAGGTATTCACTTTTTGAAATGATAAATGTTATATGTCGCAAAGATTAGCTTATTTAGTGCATTTAAATTTCAAATATAAATTAACAATTGTCATGCATTGTCGTGATAAAAACCTTTCGAAAATATCTTAACGAAGAACTTAATCAAAATCTACATTACTACGTACATTTAATAGTTTGCGAGATTGAAAAAAAATTGTTTTCGCATCATGTAGTTTATCTGTTTTGTATTTGTTACTGAGTTATATGAAAACGCAATAATAAAATACTCCTAATTAACCACTGCTATAACACAAAAATTAAGTAATAATATTAGTCTATACGAAAATAACTCTTGGTGAGAGAAACATACCTAAATAGCACCTATGTGATAGGATGATATTTTGATAAAGATATATTTCCTCTTTCAGGTCAAATTCTACAATTTTACGACTTCTATATGGAAAGGTTAATAAAACCAGTCCATTGTTACTTTCAAAGATTAACTCTACTACTCTATAATACGACTTTTAAATTATGACTGCATCAAACTTTATTATTTTATCTCTTTATAAGACTTGAGATGTTTCTGAAGTGAATGTGGAAACAATTACTAAAAAAAAAAAAAGAACATTAAAAAACTTTAGAGTAATCGACGGAGGAATTTTTGTAGAAATGTTTAATTGAAAAATATTTTTAAAATATTTTGAGGTTGAATTAAATATTTCGGTGCGTGATCTATGTATAGATATTTTAGAGCTGAATAAGATAATTTGAATAAACTCACGATTATGCTTTAGAACAACTTCAAGTGAAGGCGTTTGTTTTAAGTGTAAGGTTTTCCAGCAAAAAAAATCTCCAGAAGCCATTTTGTCTTCAGAAGAATAACATGCGTAAAGTAATGTGGGAATTCGAAGTTTCAAAGTCCGAGTAAATGTGATTAGAATGCCTAACACGTCTCAGAGCGTACGAAAGAGCCGGATTTTGTTATAAGTCTCTACATTCTGCTCTTTGTTATAGCCTTCGTTTCTGATATACAGATGAAGACTTGTAAATATCAGTATCTCACACATAAGTTGTTGTAATGTAAGCTACAAAATATCGATATATTTTAAAGCAATTTTTACTTTTCGTATTATGGTACATAGGCACAAATTCTTTGAATTTACCTAACCGCAATGTGGCCTCTTTGATACCTTTTATATGGCTAGAAGCGAAAACAGGTAACTTAGGTACTATTATCTTTTATTTCAAGTTTATTTGTCAATTCAGTTTGACGAGATAAATAAATAAATAAATTTTTACGTCCCAAAACAAGTAATTAATAAAGCGCTCGTGTTATGAACATCGAGAATAATGACGGCACCACAAACACCCAGACTCGAAACAATATAGAAAAGTTAGTTTCCTACATTGACCCGGTCGAGTATCGAACACGAGACCTCTGTGATGAAGATTCTATGAAAACCGGTTTGCAAGCCATTCACCACGGAAGTCGCCATATCCTTTAAACGAGTAATATTGACGAAGGTTACGTTATTACAAAGGAAAGATAAAATTTGAGAAACGTTAATTACCAGTTTATGCTATTGAGTATTAAATAGGTTTTACGAGAGACGACATCCGTAAAAATCACCGTCGAATATTACGACTTTTCTTTATTACGTGATATACGGCCGTTTTGGTGTTTTGTGAAATGTCGGACGTATTTTATATTCTGCAATACAGTCATTCCTACATTTTATGTTACCTAAACCATCAAAAGATTAAAACCTTATAGTGTTGATAAAAAAACTTGTTGCAGTACTTTTCACAACATGAATGAAAATATTGTTATAGGAATTTAATATGATATATGTAAAACCAGCTAAAATTTCAGTGTCCAAAAGTAATTAGCCTGCCTCTTCTAATTTGTAAATACTTTGCCTACAAAACGTATACAATTTTTTTACTTACCCTTCACTTTTCCTGATCATCTCTTAGGTATTTTAAATAGCACATGTATCTTACGTCTCTGTGGAAAGTCGTATAAAAATAATAAAACACTCGTGATAATAAACTGACGCAATACCTGGTCCCGATTCCTTTTTACTGCTACTTTAATGGTCTTTGTAGAAATTAGTTAGTGTATCAAACACTAACTAATTTCACACAAGCGACTTTCTTTTAATTACTCTCGTGTAAAATATAATCCATAGTACTTCGTAGGAAAATATGACGACTTTTTATGTAATTTTAGTTTAAAAATAAAGAATTCGACTTCTTAAACTCCGTAGAAGTACAGGGGCAAAAGCACGTCAAGCTTGACACTTAAGATTTAAATCCAACTCTATGCCGCTACGATAAGAACGGTCCAAAGTGGAAAAGTGTCAAGTTTGACGTGCTCTTGACTGTACAATTTATTGTACTAAGTAATGTAACAACCGAAGATCATGTTCAAGTTCCTTTAAGTTCGAATTTGGGCTTACACCATTGAGTTTTTCGGAATTTATATGCGAAATTTAATTTAAATTATACCATGAGCTTTTCGACGAAAGAAAACATGGTGAAGAAACCTGCACACATCTGCAAAGCTATTTAATGATGTGTGTGAAGTTCTCAATCCACATTAGCTCCGCGTGGGAACTACTGCCCAAGTTCTCCCCTTGTGAGAGACGACCTCTGCTCAGCAGTAGGATTATACGTGACGGTGTCAGTGCAATAGTAGTATAACCCACATTAAAGTTTTCTACAATATTACTTTAAATGATACTAAAGTATCTACATAACGATTTTGTATTTGGATGCTATTTTCATCTATAAAAGTAATTTAAATTTAATTTAATAGCTGTATGTAGGCTAATTATTATTATAATGTTTCTTTATTAGAAATAAGAGTTAACACACTTTTTGGTCTGTAGTTGAGTTGGTTAAGAGCGGTGACCGTCATGGCAACAGACACTCATTCGAGTCCAGTCAGATAGAAGGGATTTTTCTTTGTATTGATCCGCCCCGCGCCCGACTCGCACCCGCTCTCTGTGTGTTTGACGCTTAACTGATATTGCAAGATTTGTTCTTTAACTTCAAGTTCAGAATTGACGTAAGCTATTCACATAAAACATACTATCCACAAAGTACTATAAGGCTTTTAGAAAGATCATCACAACGGTAAAACAAATATAATTAATTAAAACAATACATAAGTAAGCATGTAAGAGTATTTGCTCACCGATGTTTATTTAGGTGAATGTGATACATGAATTTCGGTAAGTATGTACTTTTGCTTCGGTGAAAGATAAACAAGGTAGTTTCCAACAGGTGAACAGAATAATTGAACACAAGGTACATGTTTAATAAAACGATTTATTAATTCAAATTCAGCTTTAAATGTAAATTTACAAAATATGTTACAGAAATGTTATATGAAGATATTTGGCACACTCTGAGCTGTGTGAAATTGCCTCCATTTTTAAGAATTAACGAACATAAACTATGCAAATGCAGATGCACAATTAAGTTTGATATCTATTCTGTGGTCAGTTGAGTACACAATATATATTGTTCGTAATGCTATGTACATTATAGTTTGCTAATATTTAGTAATTATAGTCTTAATTATAAGACTGACAAATTATTATTTGTGGTTCGTAAGTTATGGTATTGTGTTTATTTAATATTTTCGTCTAGGCAGTACTATATTGGATTTTCACAATGATCTTCTTAGTTATTTAGATCTATATATTTTATCTATTATAAATTTAAATTTATGAAACTAGACCAATATCTTAGACAAAGTTTAGATATAAAACATCAATCACTACCTATTTTATCTTGGGTTTAAATACAAGTTATATTTTATGGAACATAAGTAGCTCGATGAGCAAAACCTTTTATTTACAAACAACCATTTGGCTTCTTATCTTTGGCACTAGTTCCAAATTTGGCAAGTACGAAGTTATAGCCCTCAATATACCACTTATCAGATTCCTTTTATTATATAATACATTCAAATACTGAGATTCACAACACTGTTCTTACTAAACTCACACAGTTATGAATTATTTACTATTAATTTATTCCTATTCGTGTTATTGAATTTATTCCAGACGTATTGTAGTAGATACAACAGAGTTTCATTTTATTTGTATAAACACACTGAATACGAAGTCGGTTTTTATGATGCATTAGGTTCAAATTCACATTCACTATCTTGTGCACTGTCACTTTGACTCTGAGGGGTATCGTTGTCATAGGTAAATAGTCTTTGCCTACACATCGCTTGGGGGCGAGGAGGCAAAATCTGGGCGCTAGTGAAGCTGACTCTTCGTGTTAAACCCATAGTGCAAGTAGGGGGAATCCGCCCCGTCCCGTGTCCCGCCTGTGACCCCACCGCCACCCGCGCCACTGGGGCACTTCAGCGCCGAACGAAGTTCTGAAGCCATTTCCGAGCAAAGGGAAGCCTGATCACAGAAAGTCAGTGCGGTAGAATATTTTACAATCGCGCTGCCAACTTTGAGATTAGAAAAATCGTACCTCTTCCTTCTGTCGTCGGGAAAATCAAACGCAGCGAAAAACAAAACAATAAATTAAATTTTAATAATTTATGAAAAAAGTATATTATCTGTATCCACTAGGATTAGGAATAGATATGTTTTAGCTCAATAAACGTGTAAGTAGGCACTGCTGGTGCTGTTATTTCAGTCAAATAGTGCTAAATTGCTTTAATTTAGAACGTAACAAATACATAAACTGTGTAATTTCAAAACTTTAGCTCGTATTTCTATACTTTTACTGAAGTTCTCAAACTATATACAAAGTGAACGTCTAGCTCTACTGAGTCTGAAACAAACAAAAACTTTACCGGTGTTCAAAAATAAACCTAGAACAAAACGGAAAATCAGTTAAACAATTATCGGGGACTATAAAAATAAAATGTACAAGAAAAAGTCTATTCTATTTGGACACACGTACGGAATACATTTTCAGGTAACCAATATGTGAATGTGACACATTTCCAAAATTTATTTACATAAATCTGATCTGGTATTTTATAAAATCATTTTGTTGACGTGGTGGCCCTTATTCGAACGTGGAATAAAACATCGGGTAAATTCGAAAATCTCGTAACTTCGTTGTTGGAGGAAATCCCTTTTTTACTCTTCAAACGCACAATTAAAAAATCAAATTAAATTGGACAATTTAAAGCTAAAATATAGTTTATAGGCCTTCTTTTAGTTAAAATAAAGGTATATATACAGACTATCGTATAATTATTCCTAGTAATATTGTTGTTGGTGGCTACTCAACAATTCACATTAATGGAGGTTACGAGGTTCACAAATTTAGCCGACGAGAAGCTTCTATCAAGTTTGAATTCGTATTCTAGAATAATCATTGTAGATTTCTGTATACGTAAAATAGAAACTGTAAAAGGTTTTATGCCTTGTGATATGTTATCTTAAATAATGTGCCACGTTACAAGTATTTATTACACCCCGTAAATCAATGGCAGCATATTAAAATAAACCCTATATCTATGACAATCATTAAGGTCGTACAATTTATAGGTTTAAAAACAATATGAATATGAGTTATAATCCACAAACAGTATAAAATTTTACTATAATATTCCAACATCAATTATCATAGTGGCATTTATAGAGTATGTGTAAAAAACTTGTAACTGTAAAAATAAAAAACCTATACATTGGCGATGTTTTAAACACAAAAGTGGCAGTTAGAAAGGACCATTAAAGCGATTTTTGTCTTACCCTTTCATCAACGGCAACTTTGCGTGACTTCCATACGAACTCGCACACGGCGATGACGCAGGCAACCCCCATACCTCCCATCAGCACGACAAACACGCCACCCACGTTTGCGAGCCCCAACTCGTTTGCTGTCGATGATGATTTCGATGTCTCATCCTGTGAATGGGACATAAAATTTGGAGGAACTTAGGACATGCTTACGCAAAAGAACACCGTGCTCGTTTTCCAGATTAGAATTGTATGTATGGCGTAAGAAGACCAAAAGGATTAGATGGTGACTACGTGTCCTTTATCTATATTATTACACGTGAATGTATGGATGATGAATATACATAGGGACATACATAATTAAGGAAAAACTATATATTAGACACTAGGGGGATATCACTACATTTTTTATTTTATTATTATTATATGAAGTGACGGGACGAACAAGTCGTGCGCCTAGTAGAAAATTAAACGTCGACCCTTAACCGTTGCAGTGCCACTCGGAACTTTAAATCGCATAGATCTCAGGGGCACTACTACCGGACCTGTCACTCTGAGACATATTGTCAAGAAAAATTTACCGTAAATTTTATAACAAAACAATTGAGAAAAAGAGTCATGTCATTAAATAATACGATTCACGTCAAAATATTGTAAATTACATAGTCATATCGATGGAGCTATAACACTTTAAAAAAGTGTCAGAATAAAGCAAATACATTTGAGACATACTGATCCAAATTAATTTATAAATGCGAAAGTAACTTTGTCTGTTACGTTTTCACGCCTTAATCGCTGAACCAATATTGGTGAATTTCGGTATAGAGATAGATGGGACATAGGCTACTTTTTATCGCAAAAAATAAATGTTTATGGGGAGAAATGGGAGACAAAATTTTGTATGGAGGACCAACCAACAAAACTATGAAAATTAGTACAGTACTATAGGCTACTGCAAGTAAGTAAGTAAGTAGTAAGTTGCGGACATTAGCTAGTTTTAAATAATACAAGGCAAGATTGTTTTGTCTTCAATTTTTTGTGTTTTGGAAACTCACGAAAAATTTAATACTACTAATTCACGATAATTCCTAAAATTTCCCTTAAAATTGGTGAATATTGCATTTCATGTTATATAGACTGACGTAAAAATTAACAGCCGATATTCTGCAGGATATACCATGGATAGTGTGCGACGGAATTGCATGAAATCATTCCGCCATCCCCTTTTTGCTATTGGAGGACTAGACTATGCTAGGGTTCCACTCCTATGTTGTGGATATATAAGATTCGCCCGAAGCGTTACCCCTCCACATTTATGGCATTTGAGTGGAGCTCCCTGCCGGCAGATGTATGTTCGTTAAAGTTTTAAACTGGACCTTTTCACGGTAAAAGTGAATAGGCATTATATAGGTGTGCATGCTTCGTCGTCGACCCCAACACCAATTTTCATCAGTTGAGATGGAAATCATAAGCGGATTAATTTTTACCTAAAAAAATAACCAAAAGTGCCAGGACGACAGTCTCGACTACTTATCTTTCGCAGTTGTGACTTTAGGAGTGGGATTCTACCGCCCTCTCTTTCTATAAAATTATATTAAATATATATATAGAACTTGTCTATTTCTGCCGCCAAGCAGCAATGTGAGCATTACTGCGTTCCGATCTTGAAGGGTAAGGGTGCCGGTGAAATTACAGGCACATGGGACTTGTTCACTTATGTCTCAGAGTGACGGGCACCGTGGCAGTGCCCCTTAGATTTTTGCGATTTAAAGCTTTGAGTGGCACTAGAAATGCCTTGGACTGGCGTGTCGCTTACTACCAGGCACACGACTTGTGCGCCCCGTAACTTGGTGTCACAAAAAAAAGCTTATAGCCACCCGTCTGGTCTGTGCTTTAAATGTACGAATGGAGCCTTTTGTAATCTTTTAATCGTTCTAAAAATACTTATTTCATACAAGACTATTTATTTTACATTTTTAATAATTTATACAAACAAAATCTAATTTCCCTCAGAAAGGTAATTTAGGCTTATACAAAATTTTAAAGGGAAAATATATACTTAAAGGATTAAAAATATTATTATCCCAACTTTTTGTTCTTTGACTCAATATGAACCTTTTACATACATTATTACACAACGAAAAAGGCTGCCATTCATGCCACATACAATAGGAACGGAAGACCAAGACATTAATGCAAACAAATTTTTGCAGAGAATTTTCCGAATCCCATTTGGAATTGTTTGGATAGCATTGTGTTTTGTTTTGTCACAATCACTGAGTGCGATGTGAAATAAACAAAAAATAAATCGAAACTAAACATCCAGCGATATTGGCGATTATTTCGAATTCACAATAGATTCCAATTTCATCAAAACACTTTCGTATTCCGAAAACATCCACTTACCCTACAAGAACCCCCGCCGCGTTTCTCCTTCCACCACTTCGTTTTGAGAATATGTAATTTTCCTTCCTCTTGTAATTTCAGAACGGCTCCACTTATGGCAGTGCGATATGGGGAATCTACAAAATTAAATTCAACCTCAGTTTTTTAAATTAATCTAGTTATGTTGCTGCAAAGCAGTACTTTATTTTTTATTATTATAGCATTCCGGACGGAAGGGTAAAGAGAGCCAATGTAATGACAGGCACAGGAAATTTATAACACGAACTTGACTTCAACTAAGCAAAAATGGCGAGCTAAGCAAATTTTTGATATTTACAAAAGTAACTTTGCCTAGTTTAAGTAAGAATTAAATTAAAATTTGAGTTAACTACGTAATTCTTTGCAAAACGTAGGCGAAACGAAAAAAAAAGAAAAAACTTTAAGTTTACTACGTAATTCCTTGCTTAAACATAAGCGAAGTTCGTTTTGTAAATACGAAAAACTTGCTTAGTTCGCCATCTTTGTTTAATCGAAATCAAAGTTTTTAAATGTCATCTATAAGATCTTATATCATACGGCCAGCAATGCATATTGGGATAACGATATTCCTTTAGCGAGCAAATGTAATGCGGTGGTAACCATTTTCCACCACGAGAACCTGTTGTTTGTCTAGCTGGCGGTTTTTTGTATCATAGAAATAAAATAATCTGAAAATTTAATAAACTAGGCACTATTACTAAATTAGAAATAGGAACATAATCTCTGATTTTAGGACAAGATGATGTCAATTACTGTGAACTGCAAAGTCAGAGCAGTTAATGAAGCGACTCACATAAATAAGTATCTCGTCAAGACGATAATGGCGCTCGTAATTTATAAAAAAAACCTAGTAATCAAGTAAGCACGTTTACACATTTTTCATTATTTAAACAACTGTAACCAAGTTTTTAGGTTTCCGTGACTGTTACACATTAGAAACAATTTTTTTTTGAAACCCACCAACGTTTTGGGCACTTCATAGGTCCCATAGTCACGGCTGACTGAGATTGTAAAGTCATCAACCAGTTGTGTGTAAAATTAATACAAACCACCCAATTTTTAACTTTATTTACAAAAGATTTTTAAAGAAAGTTAAAAATTGGGTGATTTGTAGATTTACATTTGGAAAAATTAGTTTCATTTTCAAATTAGAGTCATATTAACTTAATATTGAAACCACAAAAGTGAATGTGGAATTCCATGTGGTTCCACTACGTATCTGCACTGCGTTCCATTTCAATTGAACCTGTACAGTAAACACTCATCGTTAAGTGGCTATAAGGGCAAGCAGACTCACTTGGCGGCATGGCGATCCCGTACCCCTTCGAGTCGAGCATTCCACCCACTTGAGTAAGGTCGCAGTTCCTTTCAATGACGTACTCGATCGTAGTAGACTCCATCAAGTACGCGTAAGAGCCTTTGCCTCGCATCACGCGCTCCTCCCCTTCCTTGTTGCTGCTTGTGAACACTGTCGGTCTAGCTGACTCCATAAACGACCACATGCGTTGATAGGTCGAAAAGTTCGAATCCTGTTGGTCAATTCTATGTGTGTGTACTCCATTTTCAAACCTAATCATACTATTTCTTTCTTTTGATATTGATAAAGTCCGTTTTTTAAGATGTTAAAAGTGGTTAATTCATAATAAAAGGAGATCATAAAATGAATCGACTGAAATTAGGTTACGTTTGTAAAATTACCCCTACTTAACAACAGATTTATTCAAAGTCAAGATAGCCATAAGCCATCGAGGCTTTTCTTATAGTGACTTTGATAAATCGCCCCTGTATAATTCCCGAGTGTAAATACGGTTGAGGCCAGTTTTCGCCAACTTTCAAGGACTGTCATAAATCTTTAGAACAGTGTTTGGATAGCAAATTTCTCAGAGTTTATATTTCATCCAGCTGACATTTAAGAGATAAAACAACAGGGACTAGGGGCAAGTTAAAAGAGGAGGGAAGTGAGTGTTATTCTTGCTTGGTGGTCTTTTGAGACAATCTTATGACATTAAAGGACATTTTACAACACAAAAATTAATAAGTATAAAAACAAACATCTTCTTTTGTCTTATTTTTTTTGGTTTGGCGTTTAAAAATGAAATTTTTTTAGAGTACATTAAATTGGCACATGAACAATTTTAAAAGCTGAATAGCTCACCCTGAAAAAAGCAGCAGTAGAACCTCCTTTTAAAGCGCCATATTTGATTTTCGTTTGTTTGGCGAGATCCTCGGCACTTTCAATTGGCGAGTCCATTCGTTCGACTGTCAGGAAGGCAGCCAAATTGGCGGTATACGAAGATATCATGATCAAAGTAAAGAACCACCACATGCCGGCCACCATTCGTGTCGATACGGCTCTGTATAGGAAATAATATCGGTAGGATAGAATATCAAACGTAATTAACCTATCGATGATTAGACATTTCAAGTGTAATTATAGATTAGTACAAGAACTGATAACCTATTCCCGTAAATGATTGAATCTAACACAAATTCTAAAATAAAAGAGCCGTTGCACATTTCTAAGAACGCGAAACGAGTCTCAGAACTTACATGTACTTATCTATAGTAAGTATTAAACTTTGATGCAGCAAGCTATGGAGACTACGCAAGCGCAGAAATCGGGTGCAGATAAGAAACATTACTTTGATTTTATTAGCAAACAAAACCACATATTCCTTAGCTAACTAGTAACCAAGCTAGTTGAAAATTTCGACACGTCTCTATTCAAATTGGACCATCCTCTGACTACCGACGTTTGAAATTCACAAAGAGCTGAGGTCGCTTTGAAACTAATTAGTGAATAGGAAGTTCTTCATCCAAGCTGTGTAACTGAAGGCTACGAGTCCACGTTTAAAGTTCTCACAACTAATTTTACTCCATAAATCGATATTCTCGATTCATTATGATACGTTAAAATCGCTGCAAGCTTTCATTAAAATGGTTTTAAGAGCAATATAAATTCAAACATCAGAGTAGAAACGTAGGGAAACTAAAGCAAGTTTTAGACTTTTTTGTTTATTCTCTAAAACAGTTGCTTGTATTAGGTACCTAGTAACAAAAGTTTGAGCTCAAAATAGTTTCCACACATTCCTTATTATAGATGTAGCCATCAGTTAGTTTGTGGACGGGACTTACTTCGGCGCGATATCCGAACCTTGCTGCATCAAGGATCCGATAGTGAACCACAGCGAGTTCAACAGAGTGAATTGATTCTCCAGCACCGGCGGCTCATCTAGACAGTTCCGGGGGGTGTCCCACTCGTACGGGCTGAACCTGCGCCCAAATACGGCCCATCAGTTCCATCCTATGAACACCGTACTGTGGCAAGCGTGACATCACTACCCAGCATGTTCGAATCCCAAAGTTTTAGTCTCATTGATATTATTCTCGGATCCAAAATTTAGATTTTCAATTCACGGCTAATTTCAGTAAATTAAAATGCCACCATAGACTAAAAAAGTATAATTTTCTATTTATAGTACCAAAATATTCAAGAAGAAATGTTAAATTGTGTGTAGAAGCCGTGGATAATATTCCCCAAAATAATAAATACTTTTGGCGTTTAATGTAAACTTTTCTTTAAAGCATCCTTAAAATTCGGTGAATATTTTATATTGCCAAAGTTTAGTAACATCTTATCTCACCCTCGATGCTAGTTATCAAACTCTATAAACCATATGCGGCGAATTTCGTAATCTGAGTCGCGCGCAGACTTCCAAATATGTAATAAGTATTTGGGATACGTTTTGCCTTATATGCGGTTCGAGAGAAAGTTATGCAGTAAGAATGGACTTTAGAACTTCGTTATTGAACACGTTGGCGAGTGATTTGAGAACCCCTTTTCTATCACGGCCAGAACCTTGTGGACTTCGCTGAGGTCACTTGGAAATCACACTTGAATATTCAAGCATGCTTCTGGTTTAAAGGCGGTTCGTCTTACTTGGGTAAAAAGTCACAGCTCTGCTGCATGAGAGATCCAATAGCAAACCAGAGACAGTTGGCGAGTGAGAAAATGTTTTCCATTTTCTCACCATCCGGCGTATGCGTCTGATGCCATTCGTAAGGAGTAAACCTAAATAACAGGGTCGTTTAGCAAAGAACCTATTGGAAAACCATCAATATTTTCGTTCAAATGCATAAACACATAAAATGCTCTATAGCATCTGGTATCATTAGTTATAATTTCAGAAAACATTGGTAAACAGCATTACCATTTATTTTATGCGCAGTCCACATACCTGGCGAGTATAAACAGCAGCACAGAAACGCCCAAATACGCAGTGGCCATATAAATCCAGACATCCAACGAGAGGGGTGACAGGAACGAAAACAAGTTGGGTGGCTGTTTAATGGGCTTGCGGTACAGTACCGAAATACCGAGGTTCATGAACGGCATTGTGAAGTCAACCACTTGCTCCCTAAAAACAAAAATCAGGTATTCAAACCACACGTAATTTGTGTCGAGCCGCCTTCGCATCGCTTTCGTCTTATTCCGATCGTGAACGCGATAATTGAGTTCCAACGAATTTGCAATTCGAATTATGGAAACGAAGTTCATCGGTTGATTTTGGAACCGCAAGAATGCTTAAAGTAGAAACCAATTGAACATTCAAGATATTATGGGAACATTCGTAGGTATTAATAATCTCATTTATAGCATTGTTCATTGTTATTTTATGTCGCGTATCATTTTAATTAATCAGATTTCAATTTACCTGTCATAAGTGATTGTGAGATCGGCAATAGCGAGATCAGCTCGTTGTTCCAATAGTTCCCTTATCATTCCATCCCACTCTTTAGTCTCCCGGTGAAAGGAGCCGTATCGACCGTCGGGCGCCAGCTTGAATGTGTAATTGAAGCCCAGAATTTTAGATATCTCGTGGATCAGATCAATGGCGTACCCTTCGAACTGTGCGTTGCCGGTAAGCTTTTCACTTGCTTCTTTTCTCATGCAATACGGTGCACTCTAGAGAATAAAAGATTGTTCACTTGAATATTTGAAGACTATCAGGCACGTTTTACGAATTTAGGCTTTGATTAATGATTTCAATAGTCAGACAGAAATTGATTATGTCAATCATCTATGAAATATGACGAAATATAGTTACAAGACTAGCGTTGGGCTGAAAGTTTTCAAAGTTTATCCATCTTTACTTTTTGGGCCAAAGTTTAGTAACAAGTTATGAATATGGTTATGTGTCGTTTGAATTTCGTTTATCTGGGAATATATTTTTTTTTTGCAAGACTACATAAACTCATTCCTTGATAGAAAATTCATATTATGTAGGGTACTTTAATTTTCTCTTTGTGCGACACAAGGGAGTCGTAAACAGGTTTCCATAGAATTAAGTCGATGAAAATGAGTTCGCCATGAAACAAATAAGTATGTATCTAAATTCTTCAAAGCGGAATATTTACCAGAATAGTAGTAACTATAAGAGTTTTGTTTTGTAGTATTTCTACTATCTGTTTTTGATTTTCTCCATAAGATCTCGTATAATTGACACCCTCCGAGGAATTCCAAGTGCCCGCCTTCTGTAGGCCGTCTCTTGTCAATTCAATTATATCTAGAGTGAAATCGCTTCTGAATCCTTGATGATCAAACTTTATAACTCCAGTTAAGCCTTTCATTTCTACCTGTTCGTCGAAACAATTTCAATAAAATGTTGGTTAAGTTATTGAGTCATTTTGTTAATACTCGACAAATAGATAATCAAGATTTTGATCAGGTAGCCTACTATGAGCTTTTAAAGCAATCCTATTTAAGCCCGTAAGTTGGATTGCCTGTCAAATTCGTACTGTGACCTCACAAAAACAATTCACTGTCTGTGCAGTTTACGTTCCCCATTCGAAATCAGTTCTCCTTTTCTTTTAAAGCAAAATCGTATCAGGACGTGCCATTTGCTTGGCAAATGGCGGTCTCATCTGTAAAAATAAGCAATTTAAAAAAGTTACTCCGTGACTAACTTTTTTAGATTTTGTTATATTTTTAAGAAATTTCGTTTAAGTTTTATTACATTTTCAGTTTCATAATTATTTGTTATCTCTAAGGCCAGCCAGCCAGTTCTAAAGCCAATTGTCAATAAATAAATACTATTAACTATTGACCGTTTTTTGAAAATTTTAGTTCAAGTTCCCAATCTTTATACTATTGTTAATAAATTATTGGCAAGAATGTTATTGCAATTTAAAATGGAATTTTAATCATTTTAATAATTTTATTTACCGAATATCGTAAAATAACTTTTAAATAGTGCCAAATTTGACTTAAATGCAATCAATGAAAATGTACGAATACAAGATGTGTTCCAATTATGTTATCAAATTACAAACGTACCTTATTAATTTCAATGATAATGACTAGTCAAAATTACATGTCATGTCTAGACATGACATGTAATTTTGTCGTGCGACAAATTGTAAAGTACGATTGAATAGTTGCCTATATTACAAAACAACGAAGTAAGTATAATCAATAATAAAATTAATAAAAAAAATATAATTATTCTCATTTTGAACTCAATCGGGTAATTGTGCTAGTACGCTCCCAGGATAGTACATATGTCTATTTCTTTCATATGATTTAGTATGTAGTTCCATCTCGCTCTTATTAGATGTCAGCTAGCCAGTCAGAGACAATAATTAACGTTTAAAAAGTAAAATTCAGCATCCAGCCATGCCATTCCCGTTTAACTTTGTGTAGGTCATGATACGAATTTTAGCAAATCAGTTTTACCACGTCAAGTGAATTGAATGGAACTTGGCTGACCGCTTATAAACTCATAGTAGGCTCCCACATCATTCTTATTTACAGGGTACAGAAGAATACAAACTGTTTCTTTGATTCATTATAAAAAAAAATACACAGCATTAGCTGATGTTTGTAATATTTAGAACAATTCCTGAATAGATATGTAGACACCCAGGTTATAACAAAACTACATACAAGCTGAGTAAACTAAATCCATGTATAAAGCTGTTACGTTGGAAGAAGTGAAAACATTTCCAACGGCTGTGGTAAACTCTTGTTAAGTAACGAAAAGACGTAAACAGTCTTGCACCTCAATGTAATCTGTTAATCCGTCACTCAGTTCTTTACGTAATTCGCTGTTAGCTAAAGCTTTATTGCTCCTCAAACATATAAAGTTCCGTTTTAATATTTGTTCATGAAGTACACGAACGTACATACAGTCAGTCTCAAAGAATAACTATCTTTAACAGACTTCAAAAAAAGGAGGAGGTTCTCAACTGGACTGTACGTTTTTTTTGTATGTATATTACGCGATAACTCCAGTATTTGTGAACCGATTTTCATGATTCTTTTTTTTGGTGGAAAGAGGGTACCTCCATTGTGGTCCCATTTAATGTTGAAGAAAATCACCCACCTCTATGGTGGCTGTTCACTAATGAAGAATCATTTTTATAAATAGTACCTAAATTTTATTATAAGGGGCAATTATTTTGATGGTTGATTTTGCTATACAATAATTTTAGGCGTTTTTCTCTCAATATACTTTGAGTAGTGAGAACCGATTTTTATTATCTCCTGTGTCAAGTCCCGTATAGTGGCGAACTAGGGGATGAATCCAGGTTTGCGCACTTTCCGGTAACCGATTTCAATAAAACTTGGTAATTATATGTAATTCCACGTACTTTTGAGGTGGGTTTTTTTAGTACCAGGTATTGAGATTATATTAAGAAATGTAACTACAAAATCCAAATAAGGTTTGTAAAAATTGTGGTATCTGCTTTTGTTTCTGAAGTATACCAATTTATTCGGTAGGTCAATCTCTAATTTGTTTATAGAAAATTTAATCGAAATGAGAATAATCGTAGTTTATATAAGTGCATGGATACATATATCGTTACTGCAGTAAAACCGTATGTTTTTCGTCTACTAACCACGTAAGACTTTTTAATGGTGTGTGTTGATAAATTACACTCCGCATAAGAGTAGTAGGAAACTTACGATTTTCATGTAATTGATGAGACTGTACCCATGGGGCCATGTATCTTCCGCTTCACACGAGAGAGGTCTTACGTCAATTTGTTGCGAAGTATCAAGATCGTGTAAAGCTTTCGCAAACAAATGTACTGCGTCGTACATGAGAGCTGTTTCTGTCTGTACAAAGAAAATTGAAGATCAAAATAAACAAAACATAAACGTATCAAATAAAAGCAAAAGATTTAGTAAAAGCACGAAAGTCAACTTGTAGAGCTGTTGTACGTTTCCTAAACCAATAAGGTAAAGGAAACGACAAAATAAACACATCACAGAAACGTCCTTCGCCTCCATGTAACTCTGCATTTACCTTTATGAAGGTCATGTTATCCTGAAAACAAAACATTTCTTTTCAGTAAGCTTGTGATTGCATTAGCATACAAATATGGTCGTCATAATATTACTTTAGCGGAGTGTCCTAGTTGAAGCTTTCGTCCCTTTCGGGCTTCCTCGTATACCCAATCTCGAACTACTCTTTGCACATCAGCCCGCTCAGGATCGAGCAATCTCAAAGCTGTTATGTTGGTACCACCGTATTTAAATTCCTCTAAATCCACACTGTGAAGGTCCTGTGAAGTCGTAAACGACGGTTGTAAAAGTTAATGTCTGATGTGTTTCGTTCAGCTTTTAGTGTTGAAAAGTTAGTTTAATGCTTGTAGATTATTTCGCAAATCTTTAGAAACCTGCTGAACATTAGAAGACCATCACGAAGGGTGTTTTAAACTCAGGATTTGAATTGTTGGACAACATCACCAATGGTCGGAATACAGTGTTCCAAATAAATACATAAACTTCTATAGATACAAGGAGTGAATTAAAAACGGAGTGAGTTAAAACCACCAAATATTTAACTAACTTTTTTCAATTCATGAAATTCTTATATTATATTATTGGACAGATCAATCTCTAATTTCTTCACAGAAAATTTTATCGAAATGGGAATAATTTGGCCTTTGCCCTGCAGTGGAACAGTAATGGCTGAAAAATAAAATATATATTATAATAAATAATATCCGCATTAATTAAAATAAGCTTTTGCTTGTAGCTTATGAAAATATTAGTGAATTAATTAATTAGTAATTAATTAGTGAAGTAATTATCTACTAAATTCTTTTTACATGGCTCTCCTAGAATTACTTTAAAATCCAACTTCAGCTTCCTAAGTGAATATTTTCATCATACAGTGTGCAGTGAAATTATTTCCGGAAATTTGGGATTCGAAAAGAGTAACTAAATAATATTTGGTGGTTTTAACCTCTCTGTATTACTTCTTCTATCTATATGAAGACATTTATCCACACATTTGGCCCACATCACATACGTTGCTTTGATCTGAAAGTAAATAGCTAAAGCACTTGTGTTATGGAAATCGGAAACAACGACAGTACCATGACACAAATCCAGACCCGAGACAATATAGAAAAGTTAATTTTCTATTCTGACCCGGTCGCGGATTCGTGAAAACCGGCATGCAAGCCACTCGATCACGGAGTCCAATTAGAATTTGAGGATTGGAACATGGAATGTGAGACTTGTTGACTAGAGATGTGCGAGTAATACTCGTATTACAACTGTGATATCACGCGACATTGTAATGTGACATCACACATTCACTTTGGAAAATTAAGCATCACTCATAACATCACCCGATACAATACCTATTGATGCATGGTATTATTATTTATTTCAGCTACAATATAAAGGTTACATCAATCTTTTTATTAGCGAACAGTCTATATTGCTATAATTGCGTTATTTAAAAACTTAATAGTTCCTTTATACTGCATAATATTTATCTCTCTAGTTTACGCAAGTCAATCGCAGCGATATTGCTAAAGTAAAATTACTAAGTAGGAAAACAAGCACGGATTGATGATTGTAACACATCAAATTTTTACTCTGCGTGTTGCGTGAGATGGTGACATTACACTGTAATGCAATGTGATGGTAAAAGTACGGAGTGGTACTTATAACACATGTCATTCTTAGTCGGTGTGATGTGAGTGATTGTGATATCACACTGTAATGCAATGTGATGGTAATAGTACAGAGTGATGTTAATAACATCTCATTTTTAGGGTGTGTGATATTGTGATACCACAGTGCAATATTTCTTTCACGAGAACGTTAATTATATTACTTTTCGAGGCACTGTTTTGCACATGTGTATTGTTGACTTACTTACCAAAGACGTAACAAGATAGCTGTGGTAATCTGACATCATTCCGATTTGTTGTGCCTGTTGCAATACGTCTCTGATACGCTCAGTCGCGCAATCGAGAACTATGTGTGATTCCGCTGAATTTTTTATTTGTTTCAACAGTGGCCTGTGCGGAAAGCAAAATTATAGTTCTTGCTATTTTTTATCACAAAATTTTAGCCTCGATTGTAACTTAGTATACGATAAGTCGCTGCGAAGTAGGAACTAAATTATTAAGAAAAAGTTCTTATAAGTAAAAAGGGAAGAGACCGAAACAATTGTAAGAAAAATATCGAAAAGATGTGAGAAACTAATACCAAACTAGCAAGTGTTAATATTTCCGTACATTAGAGTTCTTATGGTTGATTACAAAAGAAACAATATTCTTTTGTATAGAAGATAATATACATTGTATCTTGACGTACATAGGCAGAATAGTGCTGAATTTATTGATGTAATGATCCATCATTCATAATGATTTGCCTCCAGGCAGAATGATGCTAAATTAATCATTATGTCCTATCCCTTAGTTGGGTTCAGATCTTTTGAAATAGTACTAGAATATCTTGGCGTTTGCTCTGAACTAATAAAAAAAGAATAAAATAAAACGTAACAAATATGCTAGTCGAATAATTATCTTACCTATAATCATGCGAATCGGGTAACTGTCTGACCGAGACAGGTAATTCAGTTGGGCCATGGGCTTTGAGCAATTCTTGCAATCTCACCAAACCATCACTATTTTCGTATACAATCGTAAATGATTTCCAGCCCCATGCTCTAACTAAATCCACGTAAGCCTGTAACATAAACCAAGGTGTAACAAACACAGTTTTAAAATCAATTATCTATAATATGTGATTACCTGATTAGATGTGTAAACTAAAAAAATATTTAAATACAGTGTTTTAATAATACGGAGACAATTTCATTTTCAAAAGTTACTTTACTCACAAACTCATAACTTTCATTGGGAGTTCTGATTTCCGTCCGTTTGCTTTACATTGACGTTTATTAAATAATTGAATATGTGCAAAATTTCCATCTCTTCAGTGTTTAAAGACAAATACTTGTAGATTTAGGATATAATAATCATATATTAACAACGAAAATTTAATGACACTGTAGCGGGAACTCGCTTCATCAATTCCTAGTAATAAATATTCAGTTTAAATATATAGTGACTTCTCTTTTATATAAATAAAAAAGGTATAGACTTTATATACAATGATAAGTAATATTCCATTTGTAGTTATATAACGTTCATTATAATCTTTACAAAATCTAGTAAATAAATCCGTTTATTTGTCATTGCTGAATATCATATTATCGAATTATCGTTCAAGTAGCAGATTGATACGGTCCTGATCGGATTTCATGTGTTACACTAGGTAATTAATTGCATTAATTAATGATATAGATCAAAATGTACGAGAATACATGCTTCATAGCTTTTTATGTTTATGTATTTATGACTGGAAACATGTCAAAGGTGAGCTGTTTAGAAACTATTAGAGCATAGGCTTTCACGCCGTATTTATTACGCGTCGACGATGCGCGTATACGCGCCGTAAATTGAATATTGTGCAAAACTTCATGTTCAAGAGATAGTTGTAATTTAAGTTTTGTTTATTAATTTCAGTTACATTTTTAAAAAAGCAACTTGAAATTGTAAGTGGAGTATATAAGCTTGTCTTTTGAATCGATTGACTACAGCACGTCTGCGGCGCGTATACGCGCAAATAACGCGCGTTTGTGAATTGCGCATCGTCGGCGCGTATAAAATACGCTGTGTGTTAAGGCTCTTACATTTTATAAATGTGTAAATAAACCTTTTTGCAAAGTAATCTGGCACATAACACAAATAATCAAAACTTATAAAAAAGAGGTTTTATATGCATAAAAATAATCGGAAATGTCTACGTGTTAAAAAATATTGACCGGTAAGATTAAAAACTTATAAATTTGAAAAATATTCGGTTGGTATGAAAAGATTTTTGGGTTGTGTGGTACAATGTATTTCATTATTAGAATAAGTACTTTTAACTTATTGATATTATTGTCCAATTGTTAAAATTTGTTTTTAGTGTCAAATTTTGTATCGTACTATGGTAGACACATCGAGTATAATACTCGATGGGTAGACAAGACGTTAATCGCTAGGACTCTTCTTGAAAAATACTTTACTCAAATGTTGTGTCGGAACCACAGAACCGTTATGTCATGGTTATGTCAGTTGTTTTACTGTTCAAAAGATCTGGGCATGATTTCAAGATACCGGCTCATTCAAAGGGAGCCCAGGATCGGGCAGAAAACAATGTACAGAGCCTAGAGACGGCGGATGTGATATTGTGATATACACTTCATCGAGCGCTGTCTCACAACGATTCAATTTATATCTTAAGCTGAATCGTAATAAGATTTCATAGTAAGTTACTTGGTGAGCGGTATAGACGCATGTTTCAAAGATATTTGGCCGTACGGTGAAGGGTCTGATATGTTTTGGGTTGGCATAATTTCCGAAGATCAGAACGGACATACTTAGTTTTCATTGAAAATGGCTCTCTCATTGAACAACGATACATCAGGGTAATCGTAATTCCTCATGCACAAGCGGCACTAGCCGTCACATGTGCTGCTGGTGTCTTCATGAAAGATCATGCTCGAGCACACCGATCGGGCGATAGATGCTTCACACGAGAGTTTTTGAAAATGTTTAAAAAATGACATTGGCTTATAATGTGATTGTTTTTGGTCTCGTTTGTGTACATACTCATATAATATGAGGTTTTTCGTAATATTACGTTATTTGCTTAGAATAATAACGCATAGAATGATAGTTTCATATCAAACGAACTGTCACAAGTGAGGCAAAAATCAAATTCATGTAGTTTTAGTAGTAGGTTAATTTTCGGTTTTAGTGAATATTTATATAAAAATACAAGTTGAAACACCTTACTTCCTTGTGGAATGTGATGTTCGTATCTATTTTATGTTTGTCTGACGTATTTTTACTCTCATTTACCGCACATTTCGTCATTTTTAGCTAAAATTCTTGATCTGTTCGCCGTGCAAGTTGCCCTTGAGCACTGAAGGTCCGCCCGCTCGTGTAGGCCCTTTGGGCGCGCTTCAATTTGCCTTACTTAGCGTGTGCGGACTAGGTTTCTATGCGTTATTATTCTAAGGTTATTTGACTCTATTTTGTGATTTTTTAGTACCGGGCGTTTGAATCCGGCGCGGCCTAAAGGGAATAATTATTGCGTTTAGGCCGCGCCGGTCTCAATGCCGGGCAGAATACGTACACGTAATGTTCGATCGATGTTTACCTAAAACTGATATACATCTGCTGATTTTCGATTGACATTTCACATTAACTGCTTTTTTCTTTGGAAAAAACTTTTTTGTTCGTGATTTTTAAATACAATTTGACATTAAAGTCAAACTTTTTATTCCAAATCTGTATTTTTTTAGATATTCTTCTGAGTCTAGAAAAGTAGGGATTCGTTTAGATTGGCCAGCAAGAAATTCCGATCCGACCTCAATCCCATTGCGGATCTTTGGGACATTCGAAAAAGGTGTGTTACATCCTACTCCACCACTCCTTCCAGAGATTGAAAGTATTATCCCGGTCGAATTTTAAAGTATTCCTCGAGAAATTATAAAAAAATCTCATTCAAAGCATGCGACGAAGAATTGCAAAAGTCATCTCGGCAAGAGGAGGCCACACTCGGTAATAATTTTCTTGTTTCTTTCGCAATTATTGCTTAATAAAAGAAATTTTTTTTTTATTTTTTTTTATTTTTTTATACCTGACAGGCAAATGACTCCACTCCACGTGATGTTAAGTGGAAAGTGGTATCCAAACGCGAAGGAATTGTCAGTTCAGGCCCTATTTTGGTACCAGTAAGTACATAATAAGGAAAATGAAAATGTCTTTATTACCTTCACAAAAAAAACTTATATGCCTATGGTCGGCACATGTTCCCGAACCGTGTTTCGTTTGTGAAAGTCTGGTGTCTATATTAGGATTAACCTGTGTTATAGAGCACCAGGAAAAAATCTAATTAAGAAAGACATGAGTAAAAAATTTTTTTAATCTCAGTGCCCAGTGTCACTCCACATTTCATATTGTAGCTTCCTTACACCAATACTTAAAATACCCGAAAGATTCGGCAACGATAGCTAGTACAGTGCACTTAGTAATCTAAGCTTTGCCCGCAGAAACCTATTTTGTGTGTTCGAAAATAGGTTTGATTGAAAAACTCTATGGAAACGTCAGTCAAGTTGGCAGCTGAATGTAGATTGAAAGTGTAATTGATTTTGTCTGAAAAGGTCCCCTGACAATTTAAAAAGGCATTTGGACATGAAAATCGTATTAGACTGCTCCTAGCGGACTAGTATTGCTCAACTGATTTATTGTTTCGCTCGAAAAAGGATACCTAAGTGTATACCGACTAGTAAATTGCGGTAGACTTAGTGCGAGTTTGCAAGTATTCCATTACATTTTTGGACAGTCCTTTTTAATACATAGTACTAAATTCAATAATATGTAATCAAGAGATTACATAATCAGAGGGCCTACCACAACCTCTTAAAACAATATTACTTTACTACATTGACTTTTCGTACCATGACGCGCTTAAAGTGAACTTATTATAATGTTAAAACTATGATGTTTTACCCACTCAAAACACTATAAACTACAAACAATAAAACATCATCAGCTGAGTGAATGAACAGTCACAATACTATTCATTCTCTCAGCACAGACGTAATGAGCACCCCCAAATATTTCGAAAACGATACCGAACTTGCCATTATTCGAAAAATCGTGCTCGCCATCTTGGATTTAGAAGTGAGTGCCGTATTCGTATTGAGCATCCTCAAATACTTCGAAAAGGATACCCACAATAGATTTTTTGAAAAATTGTGTCCGCCATCTTGGATTTACAAACAAATGGTATATTCGTAATGAGCACCCCCAAATACATCGAAAATGATACCCAACTTGCCATTATATGAGAAATCGTGACCGCCATCTTGCATTCAGAAAAGTCGTGTTAGCCATCATGTATTCAGATATAAATGCCATTCCCAGAAGGATTACCAAAAGTAAATTTTTGAAAATTCTTGGCAACCATCTTGGATTTAGAAATTGATGCCACATTCTCAATAGACACTCCCAAACAACTCGAAAACGTCTATAATTCTCGTTGGCGATCGACAATGTCGATTATACGTTGTCGATTATATTAATACGTTCTGGTATTATTTTTAATTTTTTTTCTTCACTTTTATCAAAATATGTGAAAGTAACGTTTCTTCGTCCGAATCCATCGTGTAACTGAGTCGAAAGATAAAATATCACTAAAAATTTGGTCGCACTTCAGCAGCGCGACAGTCGCGCGACCGCCGCGCGGCTGCAGCGCGGCTAACAGCGGCTAATTTGAACGCGCCCTAACATGTAAATGGCGTCGTAAGATAGCGTGAACCTAATTTTACGATAAAATGGGTTTCAATTTCGTGTTATAGCGTCAAATGTCTTCGAAAAATGGAAGAAACGGTCGAAGAGGCAGTAAAGATTACAAAATCCTCCGAAACATACCAGCTGTGCCAGAAAAGTCCCGTGTCTTCTCCTTTTGACCTTGGCGGTCACTTAAATACGAAGACTTTATTCTTTGTTCTGCTTTTGCAATTCTTTTTACATAAAAAGTTTTCAATACAAGTATTAGGTATTGAAACATTTTTATAGTAATATTTAACTTAGCAATTTGTATGAAACTTACTTTAGAACTTATAAGAATCTAACAAACAGATAACTTACCCGACTAAGTGCAGCTGGGTGCGGATAAAGATTGACTAGACACGATTCTCTTCTCGTGCGGTAGTCCCATCGGGTCTCCAAATGGGGTAGTTCCATTGTGTCGCATATGCTTTGGACGTGAGCTGCAGCGGGGGCGGATTGTGGCCCGAAAATGGCTGCAACCCCGCTCCGCAGGAGATGACATACTGTTGGGAGAATGTTGAGTTAGCAAGGTCAATAAAATCCTAAGAACAATTTTGGCAAGTTAGATTTTTCGCTTTGGCACAAATACAATTATAGGCAAATGTAGGCTTTCGTTATCCTTTATTTGTGTCAAACATTTGTAAGTCAATGGTCAAACATAATAAAATCCGAGGAAAACAAAAAAATTTTCATACATATTGTCTTTGAACAAAAACAAATTCATTTCGTTACTTTAGCTAAACGGAATGTGGTTGGGGAAATGAGAAAAAGGAAACATTAGATAGTGTGATGAACAAATTCGTAACATAAGGTTTTCGGAGAAACAGGATGCAATAAATTTGAACTGCCTCTGTAGTTGAATGGTCACCATCCTAGTCTGACACGCAGGAGTCCCAGGTTTGATTCCCAGACCGGGAGAAATATTTGCATGGACCACATAAATTTCTCTAGTGAGTTTGGGTGTAATTTGTGGTTATTTATGTGTGTGTCCATGGCACCCGCGTTACAGGATTTTCCTAGTGCGGGGCTATGAGTGTGTGCGTTATTATTATTATATTATTACAGTATGACATCATAAATCTCAGAATTAAAAATTCAAAGTAATACATAGGGCGCACTATAAGTTTCCGGATCTGGCCACTTACATAAACAATATTTTAAAAAGTAATTTCAACATTTGAAAATGGAACTTTTTGGCTCTAGAATACAGTTTGTTTAAATATGACTGTCATTGGTTTTTACATTGTGGCGTCATTTTAGAAATTGGTTGTCTACATCGTCATGGATTTAACTCCAGAAAAAATTCGTAGTACGATTTTCTACGAATTCAAGTGTAATGTGACAACTTAGCGGAGCTTCGCTCGGTTTTAAGCTGCTTTTGGCGATGAAGCACCAAGCAAGACGACTATTTATAGCTGGTTTGCAGAATTCAAACGCGGTCGTGTGAATCTCGGTGACGAATTTCGTGATGGTCGCCCGTCCGCTGTTGTGAACAACAAAAATATCGATGCTGTGTCATACGGCTATGATCGAAACAGACAGGTATGTGACATACCATAAGATTCGATCATCTTTAGGCATAGGCATGAGTCAAATACAATCAATACTACACAAACATCTGAGTATGAAAAAGCTGTGCTCTTGGTGGATACCACACAATTTGGCTGAGGCTCAATAGACGGTCCGCGTCACTTGGTGCAATGCCATGCTTACCAGATTCAGCGAAGGGGCGTCAAATTTGATGTGAGTCATAGTAACTGGTGACGAAACATGGATTTATAGTTACAATCCCACAACAAAGCAGCAATCGAGCGTAAGGGTCTTTCGAGATGAGCCGAAACCAACCAAAGTGGCGCGCATGCAAAGTGCCTCTAAGCGGATGATTGCTTCTTTTTTTTTTATAAAACTGGACACGTGGCTACTGTTGCTTTGGAGAATCGTTGTACCGTGAATACTGATTGGTACACGACCATTTGTTTACCAAAAGTTATTGACAAACTTCGTAAAAATAATCGTAAACGCCGTTTCATAGTGCACCAAGATAATGCCAGTTCTCACACGACCAGACAGACAAATGTATTTTTGAAGGTAAGATACGTTGACCTTATGAACCATCCCGCGTGCAGTCCCGACCTGGCACCTTGTGACTTATATTTATTTCCAAAAATTAAGAAACCAGTTACGCGGTCAACGATTTTCATCACCGGAAGAGGCTGTCGAAGAGTATAAAGTTAATTAGTAGTAAATTGGTTCATTTGTAAGAAAAAATGTATTAACGCTAACGGAGAATATTTTGAGAACCAAAAAATTCATTTCTGACCATTTGTTGTATTTTTTCTTATTAATTCCGGAAACTTATAGTGCACCCCACGTGTATAATATATTCTGTAAATCGTGTTTCTAACTTGCGACAGGTAACACGAATAACCACACCAACTACCTTAATCTCATCTCGGACCTATTAATCTGACACTATAAGCATCAGAGCGATGATTCAGGCGCTACTCAGAACAGCCACACAGCACCTATTTAGAAAAGTTCGTTTCCCGAATTTGTTCTACCAGGAATCGAATCCACGACCGGCATGCGCCAACAGGGATTGCTGCTGGATTACCAGCTCGTTGAATGTGAATAAACTTTGATCAGAAAGTTAAAGTACTTGCGTAAATCTGTATATAATGTATATTGATGAAGAGTTATTCAACCTTATCCCTTCCTCTCCTTTCCATCAGCGGACCACCCGTGCCGGACTGCGTTGCCACAGTTGGACGGTCAGTTCAATACCGTCCCGCACTAAAAAGTTTGGCAATTCGTTCTTATGCTGAACCATCAAATTGTGGAACCAACTCCCGGCGCATGTATTCCCTCCCCTCTATAACATCGGGTCCTTCAAACGTAGTGTGAAGAAGCATTTGGCCAGACCGGCAAAATGATAGTGACGGAGTGAAGATATTTGTGTTTTCCATCCGTTACTCTCATCTCTGGACTGTATTCGCACTTTCCATCAGGCGCGGTGCAGTCATTTTGCCGAGTCACAATAAAAATAAAAAAAAAATAAAAAATATTATTTATATAAATTAAAATACTTTTCGTATAAAAGACACACAGAACTACATCGAAAAGTTCGCAGCCCTTTTAAAGGTTTTCAGTTCAGGTATTTACTCGTATTTTTTACGTACAAAAACTTTATACAGAGTTTTAAACTTCTTGTGAAATTTGGGATGTAATTTTATTTTGAGATACTTTCAGGTACATTAAAAATATATTATTAATAACTACTTTTAGTAGTTGTAGAGCGCCTTGTGAAAGAGTTCGTCCAGGGAAGTACTGCCAGGTTTTTCTATTTCTGCCGCCAAGTAGTAATGTGAGCATTATTGCGTTACGGTTTAAAAGGGTAAGGGTGTTGGTTAAATTATAGGCACATGGGACTTGTCAACTTATGTCTCAGGGTGATGGGTCCAGTAGCAATGTGAGTATGAGTATGATCTTTGCTATTAAAAACGCTGTGTGGCACTGTAACTGCTCTACAAATTTTGTATTTTACAGATAACTCTCTCTCTGACTTTCCCTGACATTCAGCAACTTCGGAGTGCAACACGCGAGACTGAGCTCGATGCCTTTACCACGAGATTACAGTGACAGTTATCGCTAGCGATCACTTGAAATTGATTGTGTACAAAATGTTGTTGCTTCTTGTGACCACTAGAGGCGCTGTATGATTTTTCATAAAAAATTGTGAAGTAATTCACTAGCGACCAATTTTTAGCATGTCACGTTTGAAGCCCATAGAGTATATCTACCTTTTAAACCGACTTCAAAAAAAGGAGGAGATTCTCAATTCGACTGTATGTTTCTTTTTCGTTTTTTTGTAAGTATGATACGCAGTAAGTCTTTTTGTGAAGCGATTTAGATGATTCTTTTTTGTTGGAAGCGTGGTATGTCACAAGCTGTTCCATTTAAATTTGAAGAAAATATTCCACCTCTAGGGGTGGCAAACTAGGGGATGAATGACTTCCCATAGTGTGCTTACCATAACCTTTTGCAAAACAATCTTATTTCAATGTAAGCTTTATTATAATATTACTCATATTCGTACCATGACAAACCTGTCAACCAAGTAATGTAATTATTGCTAAAGTGATTGAAAGAACGATGATTTCCCAATATTATATATTCCTTACTAAAAATAGAAATAACGCTATATGAACTATATAATGCCATCTCTTTCTTTTTTCATGTTCCAAATTGTCTTATCGTAGCATAATGTTTAAGTACTTTATGTTATTTACATTCAGAGAATTTTTTTTTTAAACGATAAGTATGTAATAATAAAATCTATTAAAATGACCTTGATTTTCAATTATTTTTCCGCATTTTCATGAACAAAAATAAATAAGACAACTTTTAACAAAAACTTACGCTAAAAAACGCTGTCATAATTTTACGAAATAAACATCGCGTATTTTTATTTACCGCGATATGAGGGGAAGGAGGGAGGGAGAGAGGGAGAGAGGGAGAGAGGGAGAGAGGGAGAGAGGGAG